AACTTGATGTCTCTCTGTGAAAGTCTAAGTTAATCACTGAGGTTTCGTTATTCGTAAGATTTAGCGATGTGTATGTCTAAACTAAAACCACAGTTTTTTCCTGTCGAGAATGTTCAACTTGGTAAATAGTGAATTTGTTGTTTCCTAAGCCTAATGGCTGAGGTTTATACATGTAAACAAGGAACTTGACAGTACATCTAATAATGGCATTATTAAATCAAACAATTGGGAAATTATTGTGACAGTTATATTCATATATTGGGGGGAATTAGAGATCTTTTGGTTAAAACTGATTATCTTGGTTTGAGGGCTTATGGATGGATAACAACTCCCACATTTGTTTAATTATAGCTCACCAAAAAAATGAAGAATAAGATGTAAGAATATTGTATGTATTATCTAACTCATGTGTTATAATAATAAAAATGTTTGTTTTGGGGTAACCTGAATGTTGGATGGAAGCACTGCGACAACTTGTATGCTACTCTTCAGCCGAACAGTTTTAATTCTCTGAGAAACACAACGTGATATTAAAGTTTTAACATGCACGTCATTTACCATGGTAATATGTAACTACTATAGGGTTGTCATGGAACTGCTGCTATCTGTATCCATGCCGATATCTTAATATACTAAAACTACTTCTACTTTGAATTAATAATGGAAATTACAAATGAAACATCCACACACGTATAATGTAAAGTTCAATAGCAGTTCATTTGTGTTTTCCCAGGGTAAACCAGTTTTGTACATGGTAACCAGTTGTTCCGTGCTTTTCTGGTGGACTACTTCATTGGTCTGTGAAAAACCGCCGGTGAGGAGAGAAGTTCCGTGTTATGCGTACGATTCCAAAGGAGACTTGAGAGACTTGAGCCCTTTGATAAAGTCGCAAAGTGGATACCACGTAGAGTCTTTAAACCCCGGTTCCGATTTTTACATCAACGTTTGTGCCGATATCAATAATGGTAAGAATTGCTTGTTTTTTTTTGTTGAAAGAATTTACATACTTGCTGCAGTGTTTTGTACAGAGTAAATAAATGTTTTCTTGTTAAATTGTGTTTGGAAGAAAATATGTATTGTTTTCAAGTTCTCATCACTATTATGAGCATTTCACTTTTTTGACACAAATGACAGATTTTATAACTACATTGCGTGGATAAAACTTTAAGATTTATGTTTGAAGATTATACAAGATTATAAAATGTATCGTTTTGTAGTTGGAGAAACTGTTAACTGTCCAGATGAAACTGCAGCTTGTGGTAAATTTGGGGGGCAGTATGTATCCTTTGGAAGAGCTACATCGGGTCCTAGTTGGAAAGGACAGGATCTTCAGTTAGTATACAAAGTAGATGACGAGTCACTCCCTGGTTGTGATGTTAAACCTCAGACAACAATAACGTTCAAATGCCCACCACGTGGTAAGGTAAGAAAAAGTTCATATTGTCAAATCAAATCATTAAACAGTACGATTGTTTCAGGTTCCTAAATCTTGTTAAAATGTTTGATGTTGATATGTAGGTTAAGTTAATGCATCACACTCTGAAAGGAACTTTGGATATCTGCAGGGAGAATTAATGTATTTTTAACAAGAACCAGAAAGATAAAATCAAAGTAATTTTTTTCCAAGAGTAATAATTACAATAAACCATGCAAGGAGATCAAGGTGTAAAGCAGCGGTCGGCAACCCGTGACCCGCGGCAATAATTTGGCTGA